CAAATGTTATCTGCATAGTGTACTCTGTCAACAACAAGAAGTCAATTGAAAAGGTGAAAAAGATGTTTATCTAATCAAATTAGTGATGTCACTCTATACACTATTACAAACAGGACGCTTTGTGTTGTCCATCAATAACTGATTAAAACTGGTGTTAAATATTATGGTCTTTTTTCCTGCAGGTGACCAGTCACTGGATCCCGCTCATAAATGATAGGACAGACAAAGACAGCAGGTGTGTTATTGTGTATCCGTGTGTTGTGGTTCTTTCCTGCAGCTTAAACTACATTTGTGTCACATCTCACTATTTACTTTATTAAAATAATATAACACTTAAACACACTACTAACTGGTTTCACTGAATGACAGGGTGCCACTGATCCTGGTGGGAAACAAGTCAGATCTGGTGGAACACAGCAGCATGGAGACTATTCTGCCAATCATGAATCAATACCAGGACATTGAGACCTGTGTAGAGGTAAGAGCCCAGTGAAGTTTAACTGCAGTTATTTACATTTGATTTCCCTGGTGCTTTAAATTGAAATAAGAAAAATATATATCGAATATACATATATATATGTATTGTATTGTATGTTCACAGATAGGATCACAGATAAGTAAATCAATATTAATGAAGGGCTAAATGAAATTTAAAAGACCAAAGACTTGGCCTGATTTGCTCCTGGACTGCAGTCTGACTCCAGGCTCAACTTACAGCCAGTCATTTTTATTGATTCATGGAATCAACCTTGCCCCCTCAGCAGGTCTGAGACCAGGCAGCAGTGCTGTCATGAGACTGTTCATTCATGTCCTCTGGGCCTGGATTAGTTACAGGCTCAAAGAGTGGGACGTGAGGGAAGTCACATACACTGTGAATGAATCTGGGAAGCTCACACAGCTGCTGAGAGTCTGACTCATTATAAAAGATGTGCTCACCATGGTTGGAATGCTGGCTCAGCGGCTGACGGGGCCTCGATGCAGAACTATTACTTTCCATATGTAGCAACATACAGTACGTGTACTAAGAAGGAGAGGAATGCTTAAAATATTACTTAAAAAATATCTTTGATGTGTGTTGACACTTAGGTAAACTCAGACCACATCAACCACACACACACACAATTTGTTTTAATGTAGCTAGTCAGCCCAGTTTTTCTCTGCCTTTCCCCTGGTTTACCCTTACTTGTTTGCGCCAACATGTTTTCTTTTCATCAGTGCTCTGCCAAAAACCTGAAGAACATCTCGGAGCTTTTTTATTATGCCCAGAAGGCTGTTCTTCACCCGACAGGACCCCTCTACTGCCCAGAGGAAAAAGAGGTGAGTTCTGACGCAGTAGGTGCAGAAAGAATGCAGTGAGAATTTATAAAGTTTACCAAATAAATTAATTAAAGTTGGAATGGACTGCGGTTGTTAATGTCTTCAAAGAATTTCCCCGTTCCTGTCATTAAAGCTCATGTAAATGCACTCATTTTAGTTGAACCTAAGTTTGAGAATTTCTTCTCCTCCAGCTGAAGTCATCCTGCATCAAGTCTTTGACTCGAATCTTTAAAGTGTCCGACCTGGACAACGACGGAATCCTCAATGACAATGAACTTAACTTCTTCCAGGTGAGCGCCACTGTGACATATTATGGCATGATTTACACTTAGAACGATGTGACGTGATGTTCCAGACTTGAAAAAGAGTTCTCTGAAGGTAACTACTTTCTGCTTTTGTGTTTGTGTAGAGAACATGTTTCAACACCCCGCTGGCACCACAGGCCCTGGAGGACGTAAAGAATGTGGTCAGGAGGAACATGACGGACGGAGTCAAGGACAACGGACTAACGCTCAAAGGTTCCTACCCCTCCCTCCTTACTTCCTCCTTTATTTATTTTTACTCAACTACTCTGACATGACACCAAAGACCTGTCAAGTACTGACCCTGCTTCATTGGCTGGACCGTTGCAGGTTTCCTCTTCCTACACACTCTCTTCATACAGCGAGGCCGGCATGAGACCACCTGGACTGTCCTGAGGAGGTTTGGTTATGACGATGACCTGGAGCTCACACAGGAATACCTATTCCCCTTGTGAGTTCACATCAGCAACGTGTTTCATTAGAGGTCCACGTCGTTGTTAGATGTTCAGTGTAAAAAAAAAATTAAAAAGTAGTTCACAAATATTTTAAATAATTATGTACTGTACTGTATATAAAAAATAGAAAAAAGCAAATTTACCGAAAGATTTTAGATTGTATAGACAACATGTCATGGGTCGGATGTGTTTTTTATAGTAGATCAGTGAATTCTATTTCAATGTACTTACAAATATTTTTGCTCAATAAATTAAAGCATAAGAAGATTGATATCTCAGTTTATTTTTTTATGCCTGTTATTTCAACCTAGGATAAAGATCCCACCAGACTGCACCACAGAGCTCAATCACAACGCTTACCTCTTCCTCCAGAGTGTGTTTGACAAACATGACAAAGTGAGTGTTCAGGCATTTGATGCTAATTTGTTTTTTAATAGAGATGGACAATTTATTATTATTATTTGTGACACATTTTTAATAGAGATGGACAATTTATTATTATTTGTGACACATTTGTTCACTCTTATATTCCAAATGTAAACGTTACTCTCGTGTTTAGCCTTGCTTAGACATGTTTGTGTTTTGCCTGTTGCAGGACAGAGACTGTGCACTGTCACCTGAGGAGGTGAAGGACTTGTTCAAGGTGTTTCCCTACGTGCCATGGGGTCCAGATGTAAACAACACTGTCTGCACTAACGATCAGGGATGGATCACATACCAGGGATACCTCTCACAGTGGACGTGAGTGTGCAACATATATATATAAACATATCTAAAAAAAACACAGCAGTCCTCATTTTAATTATATGCAGCACTGATTAGTTACAGCCCCAAAGAGACGCGCTGTAAGTCCATATTCAATGTCCCTGTGCTTTTGAATTGTCCCAGGTTAACAACATACCTGGATGTCCAGCGCAGTTTAGAGTATTTAGGATACCTGGGGTACTCCATCATCTACGAACAGGAGTCACAAGCAGCTGCAATCACAGGTGAGATGTTGCAGGGACCCAGGTCAGTTTTGATGTCCCCACTCAGTAGAGTCGAATAGTCTTTGTTGTTTTCATCAAGAAAAAATTGATAAAGTAAACATCCTTATATAAAAAAACAACAACTCATTGATATTGTGGGACTATTGCATTACTCATGATGTTTCCATATCTTGCTTGTTATAGTGACTCGTAACAAGCGAATTGACCTACAAAAGAAACAGACTCAACGCAGCGTGTTCCGCTGTAATGTCTTGGGAGAACGGGGCAGTGGGAAGACTGGCTTCCTCCAAGCTTTCCTGGGCAGAAATCTGCAGGTCAGTGATGTTTGTTCTATTTAATTCATCGAATCCAATAGGTGTTAACATGTTTCTGTCATAAAGTACCTGCCCTATATTGCGCTTATAGCCTTTGTCAGTTTTAAAAGCCATACGAGGGTCATGTGATCAGTGAAGATATTTTTATAATGAATTATATTTGAACTCTGTTTATAATCATTAAAATGAACGAATACAGTTGTTTAAGATTGTGTAAAGAATACACTGTTAGGCCTTCACTGTAATGTGACAGCCAATCATATTCATTCATTCATATTCAGTATCCTGGCAGACCTAACACATGTGGATTTTATTAGTAATTATTTGACTTGCCTTCTGTTCGTTCTGCAGCGTCAGAAGAGGATCAGAGAAGACCACAAGTCCTTGTACGCCATCAGCACATCCTATGTCTATGGTCAGGAGAAGTACCTGCTGGTGAGGCGTTCACTGTCACCCAGGAATTGTCTTCATTGCTTTAAAAGTTTTTATCACTGAATCTGCCAAATTCTCATCGTCCTGACCTGTACACTGTGTTTCCTGGCTGCTCGCTTTGTTTTCTACTCCTAAAGCTGCATGAGGTGATGCCAGATTTTGACTTCCTGTCGGACGCGGACCTCTCCTGTGACGTGGTCTGCCTTGTGTACGACATCAACAACCCGAGCTCTTTCGAATACTGTGCCAAAGTGTACAAGGTGTGTAATCAGAGTGTTTGATTACACATCAAACACGGACCCCACCAGAATTAAATTCTCAGTTATTGATGACTAAGCCCTTTGTCTTTGGCAGCAATACTTCATCGACAGCAAGACGCCGTGTGTGGTGATCGCTGCCAAGTCTGACCTGCACGAGGTACGGCAGCACTACAGCCTGTCGGCGTACGAGTTCTGCCGCAAGCACAAGCTCCACCCACCTCAGCCGTTCACGTGCAACACGACTGAGGCTCCTAACAAAGACCTGTACACCAGACTCACCACCATGGCCATGTACCCGTGAGTATTTACGTCCCTCTAGCATCTCTAGAGTTCTGTCTACTTGTGGACTTTCCTAGCGCTTCTCTTTGTCCCCTTTCTCTGTTGTTGAGATCAGGGCAGACAGATGATGAGTGTAGCTGCGTCTTCACTCATCTCCCAGTTTTGATGAGGTTACACTTTGATCATTAATACAAAAAAGCATTTAAGCAAAAAAAAGCCATAGATTTATTGGTGTTCGTTTTTCTACCTCTGAGTTTTGTGGCTGTTCCTGTTTTTCGCATCACATCAATGATGTTTTCTGTTTGACTTGTTTTGCAACGTTGTGTAAATAGTAACGGTGTGGCTTCAAGTTCACACTTGTATTCCATTTGAACCTTGTGGTTAAACACTGTTAGGATGTAATCTCCCTGGCTTTGGCGGTCACATTTTCTGTGTGTGTGTTGTTGGGTGTGGGTGTGTGTGTGTGTGTGTGTGTATGTGTATGTGCATTTGTGTTGTTGTTGTTGTGCTCTGGTGAAGACACACACGTTTCTTTGTCTTTCCGCAGCCACTCCCGTCCATGCTGTGTATGTGCCTGCAACAAGTGCACCTATTGCCTGTGTCAGAACTTCCTCAAGTTGGAGCTGCTGCGCAGCATTAAGGCCCAACTGCGCAGGGTCATTTTCAACAGGTTGATATGTAGAACAAGCTGTAGTGTATAACATAGACTCTGTCCTCCTCTCTGTCTCCTACCCTGAGACTAACTGTCCAGGGTGGACAACAGAGGGGTTTTATTTATTCCCGGTCCTGTTCTCGTTAAACTGGTGGAAAAATCTGTGGTCAGATTTACACCATACATCCACTGCAGGACAACAGACACTTAAATAAGGTGTCAATACAGTGGTTCCCAACCTGTTTTGGCTTCCGACCCCATTTTGACCTCACACATTTCTTACATTTTATTTTCTCTTTTTTAATCAATTACTAGACATTTTAGGCAACCCCATTAAAATTCCAGGCAACCTCATGGGGTGGTGACCCCAAGGTTGAAAATCACTGCGCCAATATCTCACTAGAGGTTTTCAAATAACATTTTACCTTCATGTTAATGTTTTAGAATTTTCTAAATACTCTAAAAGCTGTTTTTTTTCAGGCTTTTATTTCTGTAGGACAGTAGCAGATGTGTTTAACTCCCCTTGTCTGGTTGTAATACTGTGTAGACAGGTAGTATTGTAGTAGTACCTGAGTAGTTTTAGGTTTTTTTGTCTTGTTGATTGCTATTGTGCCGTGTGTTTGTAACCAAACACTTCTTGGAGTTATGTAACTTGCTGTAAGAATTGATTTCAAATGTTTCTCTATTTTCGTCCTGTTTTTGTTTGTGTGTTTGTGAGTTCAGGTCAGGGGTCGTTCCCACATCATGATGACAGTTGAAGGGTTTGCTCCCAATTTTGACCAAAGCTCTTTCTACTTCTTATACAAGTGTCTGGTTAAACTTTGGATAAATAGAGGCAGTACAGTGGGGTTAAGGCTGTTCCATTCCCAATGCGGGGGACGCTTATTGTCTTTTTTGGTCCCAGGGTGGGGACATTGCACTGATTTGAACATTTTTATAATGAGTTTAAGAGTTGCAGTGTTTGGACAAAAGGTCAGTGATGCATAAAAGGTTTGGTTTTAGGAAAGATTAAAAGACATTATCAGATTATAGTTGACATGAAGGTTTATGTTCTGGTTAATCTGGACGAATGAGTAACAGATAATAACATCCTTCTTAGAGTATTCAGAAGTCTGTGTCTGTGTTAGTGACTGTTAGTTACTGTAGATTTCTTGGTCTCTGCTGCAGCCCCAGCCAAGCCCCCAGTGCTCTGCACAGCCTTACCGAGCGCTGTGTGACCATGGTGTGTCAGCTAACGCACAGGCTGCTAACCAGGGAGGTACCATTTTGTTTGTCACTGACACGTGCTGTGCTGATTTAACAACATACACTGAGGCCAATTAAAAAAATGCATGAAAACTAATTTTTGGTAGTTTTACCTTCAAACTTTAGGCTGAAATAGGAAGCCTATGGCTGAAAACCTTAGTGTCCTGCAGTGAATGTGTAGAACTAAATCACGATCGACCTTCAGTTCATTTCCATCATTTCAGTCCTTTTTCGTAACCTTGAAATCTGTACCTACAGGAGACGGTTGGGTTTTATTAGTACGGTTCACTCTGCGCTTAAAACAACATTGACTGATTCTCCTGTAGGTCAGAAATTCATAAAACACTATCTGTTGTTTTTTAATGTTTGAAATGATTATTTTATTCAACATTTAAATCATTTTGTATTTGTTTGTCCTGTTTGTGATTTTTTTTTTTTTTTTTTTTTTTTTTTTCCACTGTAGGTTTTCATACACAAATTTGCGTCTGGCACTTTTTCTCCTCCTCCTGCATGTTTTTACCTTCTGCTAGGCTGCTCGTTGTTTCTTTAACAGTTTATTCAAACAGTGGAGAGAAGAGAGCTTGGTGTTCAGAAATGAAAGTTTGGTTTTTGTCCTGTTCAGTTTTGCTGGTTGTCTATAACCCTGGATGTTGGATCTGTCTGGTGTGGGATTTGATGTTGTTCTCTAACAGTATGGGGATTTAAATATATATATTGGTTTTTACATTGTGTGCAAATATAACCTTGAGTGACTAGTGTTTGCATCATCATCACAGATGCACAACACTGCCTGTGGTGTGTACAGTTTTAACATGTTTGCATGGATTATTGAAGTGTAGTCAGACCTGAGGTGATGTGGATGTTGTTGTGGTCCAGCCCAGCTTTGACTTTATGAATAGATTGTGGTTGTTGCAACTTCTGCTCTGTGGGCTGTGGTTGGAGCTAAGTAGGAGAAGGGAGAGGAGGATGATGATGATGATGAAATGTTGGCAGATGTCTTCATCGGTGAGGGCTCTGCTGAGCAGCTAAAGCTTTCATACAGGTAAAGGTGGAGTCACTGGTGGTCTATGATTTTGACATTAATGTATTTCATGGTTTAGATGTCAATAACATTCAGTAATTTTTCTCAAATATTTACACCATTTTCAACTCGAGTTCTGATCCGGTCTACATTCTTAGTTTGGTGATTGCTTTCAAGAACGCCCACCACGGAATTTGAGTTAACGTTGATAATCTAAGAGCAAGGTAGCACCATCCCATGCAGGGGGCGCTATTGAAAACCAAACATTGTTCTTTCTGCTTCGCGGCAGTTCTCTGCAGTGTGTTTCTTTGTCCTCTCACCTTTATTTGTCTCTGCTGCTCCTCCACCCACAGACACATGGCTCAGGCGGACCTGAAGAACTCCACCTTCTGGCTGAGAGCCAGCGTCGGTGCCACAGTGTTCGCAGTGCTGGGTTTTGCCATGTACAGAGCACTGCTGAAACAGCGGTGATAACACAGCATGACAGAGATACTCCACCACCCTCCAACCTGAACTCCTCTCCCTCTGTAGACTCTGACCCCACCCCTCCTGCCTGAAAGACTCTCTAAGACTCTGAAACAACTAACTAGGCACATTGCCTTGAGTCGGAATGCCACTTGCTTCCCACTTTTCCCACAATGCAACATGGACAAAAAGAAGTGATGTAGACATTTTGTATGCATATTAAAATGTGTTTTCTTTTTTTTTTCAAGGGAAAAACATCCATAATTATTGATTATAGTTTGTGATCCTCATCTGGATCGGACTTCAGTAGCAAACACTCAAGGTTCTCAGACAGTCCAGGACTTTTTCTCCACTTTTTCAGGTCAGTGTTATTGTTCAGGTTTTTAAAACTCAGTGAGAGGCAGCTGTGGGCAGAAACAACACAGGGGGCTTGGAATCTGTTTATAGATGTATATGCAGTATGTCATTAATGTATTCACTTAGTGGTTTTAGGATCGGACCAGAAGGTGGTTTCATTAGCTGAAGTGGTGTCAACAAAGCTGGTGTTAGAACAAATAAACAAAGCTCTACATTTAAGTCCTGAAAGGTCATGGATGTCATTTATTTGTGTCTGTTAATTTATTAACATATGTTGGTTTTCTTGTCTGTTTTAAGCGCTCGACATGGAACAGATTGACATTTTCTATGTATTTTTGTATTTAGTATTATCAAATGTCGCCTCATTTACGACACTGCTTCTGTTTTTATGTCCTGGTTTCCAACTACTGTTATTTCTCCGTATATTTTTATGAAACTAAAGGCTCCACGGAGCTGAGGGCTGTGACAACAACCATTGAGCTCAGCCTTCAGCACCTTCAGACTCTTAGAGCCTTTTCTTGTCATGGTTCTCTTCCTTTACAAAGGTCTGGGATCCAAACAAAAGTGTCTTTATCAACCAAAATGGAAAATAAATAAAGTTTTAAATATCTGTAATAAATGACATTTACACCCAACGGGGTCACTTCTTAGTCTGTCTCCTTTTAGAGCTGTAGAAAGTCGAAAGTTGACTCGTGAATTCACTCAAGTCAAAAGGATTTAGAGAAGCAGAATAGAGAAGTGAGTGGCACAGTCATAACGATGATTTAAGAGGGAAGTGGCAGCAGACAGGTAAATGGATGATGGAAAAACAACTGCTTCAGTCATTGTGAGGTCACAGGTTATATACAGTCAACATGTCTGCAGATGAGACCTGGGTACTATTGGAAGGATTTCTGCAGAACAGAAAGGTTTAAAATGTAATATAGAGCGTTGTTTCCCAAAAGACTGGGTCACGACCCTCCGGTAAATCATAATAGATTTTTTTTGGGGTCGTCTCCCATTATTTTTCCCAGGAGTTTACGAATAATGTCTATTGGGTTACAGTTTGTGACTTTTACGAATAGGGGTTCCCAGAAAAAAAACACTGATATAGACCATACATAAATGTATAGGAAATATACATTTTATATTTATTTTTATATATATAAATAATATATATATTTACATATGTATATATACAGTATATATATATATGTGTGTTGCAGCCTTTTGGCGTTTTGCAGATCTCTGATAATCTTTGGCCAGAAAACAGCGTTTCTGAATAAGTTGAAAACATTTCTATGTTTTGCACTGTATGAGGAAGTGTTTTTTGATCATGGGTCAGAATTTTTGGATTGCATTATCTGAAAAAAAAAAACAGCTCATCAAGATTTTGTCCCTCACTACAGTTGCGGAAAGTAGCGAATTATGTTTACTAGAGTTACTGTAATTGTCGTTTTTGTGTACTAATACTTTTTAAAATGCTAATTAAAAAACGTTTGAAATATTGTACACATCACACATATTGTGCACATCACACATCACATTTAAATCATTTACGATACTGAGTTAAAAAAAAAAACGGTTAAATCAAAAAAGAAAAACTAATCCCGTCCTGGAAAAGCTTCTCAAATTTCCGATGGTGCCTGGACGCATCTTGGCAAAAATGTCTTCAAAATGCCTGCGTGATTGAGGTAAATCAGTCAGTGTATTATCAGAGAGAACTGGAACACTACAAGGCCAAAAACACAGCAGCAAATAATTCTTCTTTTAGGAGAATAATATATATATATATTTTCATTTCTGTGTCGCTATCCCCTGTGCTGTTTGTTTAGAGGAGACAGACAATAGACTGAATATTAGGCACAAGGACCTCATACAACCCCACTAAATAAAACCTGAACCTTCCATTAATATCATATTAAAATCATTTATTATAACGTTAACTATAGTGTAAACATACCTTCCACTATTGTTATATCATCAGAAAATCAAAAAGTATTTCTTATTCTAATTCTTTCTCGGTGTTATTGACTTTTGATGGTGTTGGAGCTACATGTGATTCTATCTGTTTGAGGAGCTGGAAATTGACAAGAATTTTGTTTCAACGGTTAAAGCAGGTGTGTCAAACTCAGTTTAGTTCAAGGGCGGCATGCAACCTAATTAGATGTTAAGTGGGCTGGGCCAATACAGTCATATCATAATAAATGATAAATTACAATAAGTCCATGTCTTTACCTTTGTTTTCATGCAAAGAAGTACACGTATAGTATATGTTTAATTATTATTGCTATTATCATTTATTCATATTCAATTAGATAATAATAATTTTACAAAAAATGTCCTGAACATAAAGTGTTAATTTGTTTTTGTATTTTCAAAATTAATGAAGCTGGCCGGTTTTGGGCCGCGGGCCGTAAGTTTGACATCCTGGATTAGAGTTTTGATCCGTGACAACTCCATGAGTTTTATTTTATACTATGTATATACTAACACTTGCAGTTTTGAACGTGTATTAACTCGTATGGGAAACAAATCCAAACCAAATGTTTATTTTGTTTTTTGACTATTTTAAATATCTAAAATTTTAAAAACCAAAAAAAAAAACCCAAAAAAAAAAAAAAAACCCACGTGTTTACAGATGTCACCACATGCGTCACAGCCGGTAACCAGAAATGGGCGAGTGTTAGTGGGAGCCTCAAAAGTCATATTCGGCTTCCAAACAAACACAAGGTACAGAATGATCGCAGCGTACCGCAGTGCGTCTGTAAGCGAGGTAACATTATTCATACTTACTTACTACTTAGTTACTTACTTAGTTTTCATTCCAACTTGAATAGATAGATAGAAACTTGTAATTTAATTGATAAAAATTGACAGTTTGTGTTGTTGAATTCCGCTACTGAAGAGAGATGCATTTACTGATACCGTTAAACTAAAGCGGAAACTATAAGGAACGGTCGCTAAAGACATCGCCGAAGGCACTGAAAGCTTAACAAAAGTGTGTGTGCTTATATAATAATAATAGTAACTTAGTTAAATAGTAATTTAACTAAGAAAGTAGTTGATAGATGTTCAACTTTCATGCAAAACTACTTTACTCCGCTCCCTGTGGACATTTCCGCAAAATAGAAAACAACCCGGAGGAAATTGCTTGATAATCCCCCCTAAAATTATTAGAACATGATGACAGTGTTCTGCATGAATGGTTTTAACGTGGGTAAAAACGTACCGATATATTTTACCTCCACACACACAAAAACAAAACCCCCCAGAAACATTAATGGATGTTTGTGTGTTCGCACTGTCAGTCAAACATCAACCCCGGGCATCTTTAATACGGAACGTCAGTTGATTGCCTTTCTGTAAAACATTTCGGTGCCAAATACTGTTATGAGTTAAATTTGTAGTTTGGGGATTTCCCACCTTGTTTTCTGTATGACTTGTTTTTATTTAGATGACTTGTGTTGACGTGATTTCACTTCAGTGGTGCGGCAACACTGGACAAATACGATTTAATTTTTACTATATATTTTCCTCAAACTCTTCTTCACTACTATTCACGTTCTAACGTCGTTTATCTCCCACAAGGCACTGCGGTTCTTTACTGCCCACATGTGGATTCTGTCCGTCCTGCTGCTCGTCTTTCAGACAAACTGTTTCACATCGACAGGTGAACCCTTTATTTTAGCATTAATTTAAAATGTGATCTTATTAAAAAATGTTATTAATTATTTTTAAATGACCAGAGTTCAAGAATGCAGGTGATGAAGATATGAACCTGAGTTTGGAGCAAATACTACTGAAAGTTTAAGTTTATAAAATTACTGTGTAGCTCTGCTTTTTAACTACTCTTGCACTTTGGTTATTTGTCATAGAATTACAGAAGCAGCTGTAAAAATTAATACCATTTCTTCATATCCTTTAAGGTATTTTGTACATTATTGAAGCTTTGGATCAGCACTAACTGTACTCCATAATACGCGCTGGCAATTTTAATGCCATTTTGCAGTACCTCACTTTGTAGCAACTGCATGGATAAAGAAAGTATTAAAAGTAAATATTTTCAGCAATACCATAGCAATAGGTTGTTTCATGTCAGGATGCGTATGCTGTTTATTCAAGTGCTTTCTTTACTGATCAGGAAGTTATCGCAAAGGCTCTGTGAGGTTGACAAGATTTATACATTTCCTGTTATGCCACCGTGTGTGTGGTTTCAAACAAAGTTGCTTGTTCGTGTGGTTTCTTTTGTCTCTCTCCGTTGAGACATTTGAAATTTTCAATAAATAGAGATTTCATGATCATTTTGTATCGTTTGGTTTCATCTAAAGCTAATCATACAATTATTTCTCCCTTTAGCAGTTCTTTGGTAATCATTCTGATTCATAAAATCATCTGTAAATCCACAATACAGTATCTGTAGTCTACTGTGTTTTGGGAAGTATGTAAATCCACAATACAGTATCTGTAGTGTTTTGGGAAGTGCATCAGATCAGTTAAAACCTAATATTGTTTTTCAAGATGTGTAGTTTTTTGTTAAACCGCATGATAAATATGGTTTACATTTAATGTTTTACTTTTGAAATCTATTGCCGGTTTTCTAGGTCCTCCTGCCCTGTCGTCCCCACCTGAGTGTTTCATGCCATGTGATGAGAAGAGCTGTATTAGTGACATCCACTGTACATGGGAGGATCGAGGGCTGGATCATTTGTTTCCCACGAACTATATCTTGCACTGGAAGACAACAGATAACAACAGGTAAAAATGTTTTTTTTTTTTTATTATTATTAAATAACTCAATCAAAGCTTATAATAATCGGATTGTTGTCTTCCACATTAGCAGAGGCAATGTCACCAGTTCCAACAGTTTGAAAGGAGTTATACAGCGTGAAGACTTTATCAACCATGAAGAACTTTCTGTTTGGGTTGAAGCTGAGAACCAGCATGGTTCTGGGAACTCAAAGGAGAATGTGTTCAATACAGCAGATATCAGTGAGTCAAAGATTGAAGACAAAAATTACAGTATATTTTCAAATTACTCCACTGGATTTTTGGTTGATGTTTCTCCTGTTGTCTGTCCTCTGTCTAGTCAAACCACCCCCTCCTAAAGTTACACTGACGCAGCAGGAGCCTCTAGAGATCGAGTGGCTTTCCTTCTGTGATGAGCTCCAGTTCTCTGCAGGAACTTGTGACGTCCGTTATCGCATTGACACCAACCCTGTCTGGTCTAAGGTTATTTTTTTTCCCCTTACAGTAGGAACTGTTTCTTAAACAACTCTGAGAAGAAACATGTTATGTATGGTCCATGTTGAACTAAAAACACTGTGTTTTTGCTTTTGCAATTGTTGTGTCTCAACAAACAACCTGTATGTCAGTGAGGGAGCAAATTGCCACTCTTTTTTTACATGCTCAAAATATCATTATAAGGGCTGTGCAACCGATTTCCTGTGTGACACCACAATGGAAGATTAGCGAGGCCATTTTAAAAGTCTGCCAACTAGTGTTATTGTGCATACAGTCTTACAGGCTGTGTTCCCTCAATAGCTGTGGTGTCACAACTAAGCTGTCTTGGCGAACCTGCTAATGATGGTTTGTTGTTCCAGGAGCCGAGAGGCTGTGGCTGTTTATATTATTCACCAACAACGAAAAAGAGAAAAAGCACAGAAGGAGCTTTGTAGCTGTCTGAATGAATGAGTTTAACATGTACAGCTGTGTCTCATATGGCTTCGTGTTGCAATGCACTTGAAATTATACCTGAAAACATTTTATCAATGTGAAGGTCTAACATCTGTTTATATAGTTTTGCTTTCTAACTATCTACTGGGAATTAATCTTAAACAACTCAGGCATGGGGTAAAATGGCTGGATCTTTCCTTTTATTATTTAGTTAAATAAATATTACAATAATTACCAATGTGATTGAAATGCTAATGTTTTTGCCATTTGTTTTTATCCATGTTTTGTTCTAGCAGTATGAAAGTGGATTCCTTCAAACCTACGTGCTCGACAACTACCTGCCTGGCACAGTCTATGCATTTCAAGTTCGTTGTGCCTGTAGAATCGGATTGATGAGTGACTGGAGCGCAGTCCATAAAATAAGAAGTGAAGGGAAAGGTAGGTCCTGACATGGAACATGGTCTTCCATCAGTGACCAAGACTAGAGGAGATTGAAGACAAAAGACTGATAGTAGCTGTGAACACACACAAAAAAACATTTCTGTCTTATTTAGCTCCTGTGGGAGAGTTGGATGTATGGATGGATTGTAGCACAACAACTGGACTCTTAGACTGCATTCTGATCTGGAAGGTTGGAGAAACATACAACTCAGTTGTTTTCTTACTGGAATACTGCACCAGAGTTTCACTTCCTGCACAATCGATCTCAGCTGTTTTTTTTTCCCTTGTAGGAGCTTCCTTTATTTCTTGCACGAGGTGTTATCATGGCATATGAGGTCGTACTGTTTTACAGCAATGGGACATCGGTTCTGTTGAATGTGTTCACACCTGACCCAAAAGGCCTGCTGACATGCAGTGAGATGCAGTGTTACTTCAACTGCTCTCTAAAAGACATCTCATCAGTAAACGTATCAGCCTTAAATGCTCATGGTGCTACAGTACCCTCTCATCTGAAGATGCCAATTTTGGATTCGTCAGGTATCAATTTATCCGATGTCTCTAAATCATTTTTATTTATTTATTTATTTGATTGATTGTTTAAAATATACCTCCTTCATTCTACGTTAGGTCAAGAGAAAGATGACCAAATTATTAACCTCATGATGACTGAACAGAACCTCACTGTGTCCTGGGAACTGCCTACTCAGCAGCCTTACAACTTGAAAATATATGAAGAGTATGTGGTGCAATACAAACAAGTGGGAACTCCTCCAGGCGTAGGCTTTGATTGGGTCAAAGTGAACAAAAGTCAAAAAGTGGTATTTTTCAAAGGTCTGTTTGACTTATACTTAGCACAGTAATATTTCCAAATTATAGCTAAGTTTGAAATTAGTTTTGACACAGCCAACTGTATCATGATGTGACTTGTGTGTCTCCACCCACAGGTCATTTCAGAAACTACACACCCTACCGAGTATCCCTGTTTACGGTGTCACATGGCAAAAATGTTCACTTCCTCTCATCAAATATTGGATATAGTCTTGAAGGAGGTACGTTCATGTATATAGTTTACTTTCCAATTTCATACTTAACTGTATTTAATTATCACGTGGATTTCTGTATTGCTTTGCAGCTCCTTCCAAAGTGCAGTCACTTAAGGTACTTTCCATTGCTGACACTCAGGTGACCCTTTTTTGGGAGTCTGATCCTCTGTACAAGCAGAAGGGCTTGGTCCTGTACTACCAAGTAGGAACAGACAGCATAAATGGTAATTACTTTGCTGTTGTCTCATTAGTTGGTAATAAAAAGGCAGGGAGTCGGTCAGTCTTTTGATATTATGTTGTCATCACAGTGTGTTCTGCTACTGTATTAAATCTGTTCAGTTATTATTCAGTTATTCGAGGGATAAATTCAATGGGTGAAAATGCAAACCTATTCTAATCTACTTTCCTGAATGAGATGTGTCAACATCTTGTTAAGTTGTTTTTGGTCAAGACATTTATAATCTGCAGGGAATGTAATGTAACACCTGACATTTGCAGTTTTGCAGTTGCCCTATTTATAACTGCATCTTGATGATTGAGAATCTACAGAGACAAATCCATTGGATGCACAGAAAAAGATTTCCTATTTATTGCCCTCAAAATTTTCATCTTCAGTGTACAACGTGAGTACTTCCCCCCTGAGTTCAAATGAGACGTTTGTGCTGAAGAGTCTCCGTCCAGGTCAGGAGTATCAGGTGTGGATAAGAGCTGTGACCAAGGCTGGGCCTGGAGCAAATAACACTGCAACCTTCAAAACAATACAGCTTGAAAATGATGGTACACAATCACATCTAAAAAAAGACTATTTTTGAATAAGTTACAGTTGCAAGAATTGTTAAAATTTTAAATTTAAAGTATTACCTACTAGTAATAAGGATTTGATCATATGACTAATATTTGATTTTTTTTTTTGTCTACAGTCTCATTACTACCATCACTTACTGCTCTATTCCTGTTGTTAGTGGCCCTTCTCTTTTTTCTGTGGTAAGATAACTGGAAGTGTTTTCTTTCTTTTAAAATGTTTGTTACTTTTTCTTTTTAGAGTAGAGTAGAGTAGAGTAGGGCTTTATTCATCCCCCTTGGGGGAAACATACTAGTACAGTAGGCAGTGCAGAAAAAGAGAGAAGAGGAGTTAACACAATAAATAGAGTAAAAAAGAACTAAAAAGCAAAGAGCACTCAAAAATTAAAGTAAACCTTTAGAAAAAAATATACATTATAAACAAGAAAATATACATATTGCACTAAAAAAGTGGCAGTGAAGGGTGCAGGTAATCAATGTAGGGAGTTAAACAGTCTTATGGCGGATGGGAGGAAGGACCTGCGGTAGCGCTCCTTCCTGCATTGTGGATGCCGGAGCCTGCCGCTGAAGGAGCTACGCAGGTCCTCCACAGTCTGGTGCAGCGGTTGGGTGGGGTTGTTTGTGATGGAGGACAGTTTTGTGAGTGTCCTGCTCCTTGCGACCTCCTCCACCGAGTCCAACGGGCAGCCCAGGACAGAGCTAGCCCTCTTGACCAGCTTGTTCAGTTTTTTTCTGTCCCGGTCAGTGCTGCCTGTTCCCCAGCAGACGACGGCAAAGAGGATGGCAGAGGCCACCACAGAGTCATAAAAAGTCCGGAGG